GTTTTCATTAGCTTGAATGAAGCAGGAAAGTAGGAAGTTAAACCCTATTTTTTTTTTTAAATTTCATTAGCGGGTAATATGTAATGTATGTAAATTACGGAATATCTCAGTATTATAACGGAGTATCTTTTTGTGTTTGTGTATAGCAAGCGTATGCTGTCCAAAACTACCCCCATGACATTTCATCTTTTTTGTTAACATGTGAGTACAATTTCATCAATAAATAATCGCTAAATTTGATATTTTTATTTTCGTGAAAAATATCGCAAAATTTCATGACGTGGTAGCATTGTTTCAACGCAATACAATTGGATGACGTCATAACAATTCTATTTCCCGTAGATATCGCTACTGGGAAGCCACAAATCGTTTTTCTGAGCATAAGAAACTTTTTAACTTCTTGAAAATTTAGAAGATTTTACCATATATTGTCTTCATATTGCTTTGAGGTAAGTCTATCATATAGCATCAATACTTTCAAAATTTTCAGCCAATTCTCTAAGTTTAACCAGTTGGCAATTCTCCACCCTTCCACAGCATTAGGACAAACGCGAAATTATTCGCCAAATTTTCTGATCAATTTTTAAAAAAAAGATATTAAAATTCAAACTAAGTTAATTCTGTAAAATATTTAAATAATTAGGGTAATATTAGCAATAAATCCAACATTTTTAAATGTCTGCAAAAGATTGTTATATTACGAACGCCGTGTCCTATCAAGAACAGAAGAATGACGTCATTTTAAAAATTCTTAATAAAAATGCTTAAAGGACAAAATGATTCTCAAAGTGAATTAAATAAGCGGTTTGATTTATATTATAATTAATATTACAATTATGATAAATTTGTAAGAATAATTATACAATTTTACAGAAAAATGGCGGATAAAATGTTACAAGAGCAACATCATGATGTAGGAAATAACGGAGAAAAAACCCTACCAAAAGGTTTGTTAGCTTCTTCAACACAAAAACATTTTATTGTGCAAAGAATACAAAAATCAGCTTTGGTTATTGAAATAAATCCTTACAAATTGGTAGAACCATGCGATATTTCAAAACGACATAAATTAATTCTCTTTAAATTAAGATTTAACTAATTTTTGTTTTCAGGATTTTGTCCCGATTATTTCCATCGACTGAGGTTTGTTAGGGATAATTCAGACTTCTACATTCAACAAGAAAACATCGAGAGTTTCAGGGCGTTGCCTTGGTATTCTAAGAACCTCGAGAATTCTGCTAATAGATTCCAAAGTGTCAGTGAAACAAAAGACATCTTGAAGAACCTTATTTACAGAAACTCGATGGGTAGGATCTGTGCTGGAGATGCCAAAGGCGTTTCTGGAAAACATAAGACCGAGGTGGATGGAGGCAACGCCCCTGGGTTTAAAACCACTCGTCCTGATAATTTGAAAACTTGGACAGCTTATGGAAACTTTGATAGAAATCATAAGAAACCAGTTATTGGAACTAAAGCTGATTATAATGAAATTGTCAGCCAAGGGGATACTGCGACAACTTTTGATTCAAAGACTAACGAAGTAGATAGAACCACTAGCACACATCAGAAGACCTCCATACATGCTAAGCTACAAAAAGATCGATTAAAACAGCAACTACTGACAAAACACATCATGGAACAGTATGATAGATTGAGCATCCGCTGTTCTTATGATACCAGAGCAGATACTGATGTAAAAACATCCAGTTCTACAGAAACACAAAACTCTAAACAATTAGTAAACGAAGCAGCAGAAGAACTGAAAGAGGCTGGGGAAAAAGAAAAGAAAACAGACAAAGGAAGACTAAATTTTTTAACTGTAAGTGATTAAAGATTGCCAAAAATACTAGCATAGTATCGATTAGGTTTATTCGGATATGTTTTTAGAAGAAATTCTTCTTTTATAATCGGGCGTGGTTACTTACTCAATGACATTCCTTACAGTGCGCCATAGTAGTCTGGCTTGTCGTTCCTTTAAAGAAAATTGTGTGTCATTATATTACATGTATAAATCTTTATGAAGAAATAGGAAACATGTCCTATTATGTGTATAACGTTATTGTCGTTAAGGGATTAAAAGTAAAATGTTTTTCTATTTATTGTAGAAATTATGGAGGAGAATCACAAGACAACCGCACGAAAAAACAAGTGCTGAAAAAGGTTAGATTTGAATCATTACGACAATCGTGTTAATTAATATATACTTCTTTGAATACACTTGAAATTTATTTTCGAATCTATTTAATTTCGACGGAAACAGTCCAGTAAAAATTAAATAAAATCTGCCTAAGTTATGAAAACAAAAAAATACATAATCATGTTCTATTATATGAAATTAAAATTTTATTTCAGAAAATAAAGTTAATGCAACAGTAAAGAAACATTCCAGATTTTCATCTTTTCTCTGCAGTCGTGAACCTAAAACCAATATGTAAAAAGACCAGAAGATAGATCAAAGCAATACATGAAATGCCAAATTATTACAAAATAGTCTACAGTTTATAAACCAAAGTTTATTTTACTTTACCCTCATGTTTTATATTTATATTTTTTATATTACTCTATTACATGTGTATATTATATTTGAAGAAACGTAATTGGATATTTTTTATGAATACATACAAAACAACATACAAAACGTGTGCAATATTTTTAAAATATATTTGTGTTTTCTTTTCTTTTATATTATTGGTTATTGCTCATGATTATACGAAACATCGCGTTTTTAGCTTGTGTACCCTCCAGGGGTCACACTTTTCTTTGATTTTAAAAGAAACAGATACACGGCCGAACTTCTGCTCACTAATAATTCCTTCGAAGACCAAAAATTGTTGTGTGAGACTGTGAGAGGATATATGTTATCACTCGTCACATCAGTCAGTTATATAGAGGGTTCACTCGTGTTTTCCTTTGACGTTCGTCACTTCCGATTCAGGAAACCTGTATTACTCAGCTATCGTAGCAATGATCTCTGTGTTAAAATTATATTTGGAAAGTGCTTAACCAGCTCTATCACATATGTAATAATGACTACACCAATATTGTCCTTTAAGTTTCGTGGATCTCGGTTCGAAACTAAGATTTTAAACGACACATATAGTTGATATACTTTCTTTTGGACGTCAGTATAGTTTGTATCTTAAAATGGTTGTCTGATGATTTGCATTAAACTAAAGCAGACTTTGTGTCCCTGTAAGGCTATAGTTTTCCGGGTAACAGATAATTTACGGTTACAATTGAAAACCATGCCAAGGTAATTAAAGCTACTGACTAGTTCTACTCAAATATTTCTATAATACCCCAATTCATAATACATGATCTTACCACCGTTTCTAAAAACGACGATTTTATGTAAATTATCAGGGTCCTGTTTCTCGAAATCTTAAAAGATAAAATCCAAATTTTAGTAGATACTTCTATTATTATTGGCTAAGCACTAAAATCAACCTATCCAATCAAATTACTAATATTTGGATTTTATCTTAATTAAAATTTCGTGAAACAGGCCTCTGGTGAGTATCTAAGTATACATTAGCAGACACAAATTTATTTCAAATTTGGTGTGTAGTATTAGGGCCACGGGAGGACGAACCCTATCAACAGTCCGCCATATGTGACATTCCGTTCTGAAATTATCGCCCTTTTCCGAAAACCTTGTGAACACAATAGATGCTACAATTTTTCACAGATTTATTCCCAATTCGATGAGGATTCATGGTGGCTAAGTGAGTAAGACACTCATGGAGTTCGCAGATTCGATCCCGGTGTTGGCAGAGAAGTTTCATCAGGATTTTCCAGCATGGTTTCCTCTTGTCAGTGGTGCAGGACCGAGGGCCGGACAAGGAGAGCTGTCTAGTCATTCGGATGAGACAAATCGATACACATTTGCGTGCACGTAAAAGATCCCTTGGCAGTTGGAATTCGATATAAGAGTATGCAGTAGCGCAGCTGTCCGGGCAAAACTCTCCTCTAGCACACGGTACAGCGTATGCCTGTCTTCATTAGACCATTCGAAGCAGAACAGTAGGACGTTAAAACCCATTTCCTTTCATTTTTATTTCCTTTCATTTTCGGGGATCACATGGCTAAGTTTCTTAGACGCTGGCTCGCTAGCCTGGAGGTCGGGTGTTCGATCCCTTTATTGGCAGAGAAAGTTCATTCAGATTTTCCGGCGTGGTTCCCCCTTGTCAGTGATGCAGCATGGAGGGCCTGACAAGGACAGCTGTCTACTTGTTCGGATAGGACGAAAAGATCCCTTGGCAGTTGGAATTCGATATAAGAGTAGGCCGTAGCGCCGCTGCCTGGGCAAAATTTCCCTCATAGCACACTGTATGGCTTATGCCCGTCTTCATTAGCCCAGGTTAGGAGCAGAACAGTAGGACGTTAAACCCCTTTTCATTTTATTTCATTTCATTTCTAATTCGATGTGAATCTGTTGAACATCGCCAAGATATAGCTGTTTAAAGATTTTGTGCCAGTCGTAAGCATTATAGGCTATAGTGGTTTTTAAAAGTTCAAGTGCCATTAAGTTTTTGACATAGCCAAGTATATGTAAAATAGAGCCTTTGAATAACGATTTAAGGTCAGACACTTGGTTAAGTGGAAAAAATAAGTATTTTTACTTAACTTTAAGAAAACCTTTGCTGTAGGACTAGGGACTACACAGCAGACTGGAGATTTAACGGTTCACCTATTGCCTTGATGTGTGCCTGTGTTGAATGTTATGCAGTTCTCCGGCTTATATCATTGATATATATGTGATCTGCAGCCCTACATTAACTATATCTTATCGAAGTAAGTCTTTGTTCCAGTTGGTAAAAGTTGAAAGATATGGCGATTAATAATATATTACTCTTGATTATTATTAATACAGTATAATATCATATAAAGAAAACATGATTTATTCAATTCCAAATTTCGGAATTTGCCGAAGAACCTGTTTTTTTTATATATAGATCACCTCCCTTGACAAACTAAAGGAGAAACAACTCTGCTAATAAATAACTCTGCATCAACAGGTCTTTCTCATTTTTATTCACCTTTCAAAACAATTTATTGTTTAAAAATTTCCTTTTAAAGAAATAATATTCAATAAAAAACAGCATCACTTTCATTTATACAAACAGCATTAAAATACATAACAAGATGTCATAAACATTTAACAAATACAATATATAAATACAGTTGTATGCGATTAAAACAGCATAATGTTCTCTTATGCAATTAGTATAAGATAATGTCTTAATACATAAACTTTAAGTATGCAATTAGCATAATGTTTTTCATATTAAATATTAATATCTTATGCAAATACTTTAAAACTTTAAGCTATTAATTATCATACATTATTGTTTTGTATATTATGTAAATCTTTATTAATATAATATCGTAGGTAATCATTAGTACCTATAATATCTTATGCAAGTAGATTTTATAATCCAATATGCAAATTACAATATCCTATAATTATAAAACATTTTAACATATAAATATTTTAGGAATTTCCCAATATTTTTTTTTTTTTTTTAACAAAACCATGATTTTATTTGCAGTTATCAAATGCCTTGTAACACATACAATTTTAACATTATATAACATAAATGCCTAGCAGTTTAATCAAATCTCTATACATGTACTATAAAAGGTTATGAATTTCAATTTCAATAAATAACAAATGACACATATTCTGAATAACAATTGTTTAAATTTATACCAAACAACAAATTAATAAAAAAAAAAAAACCATTACAAATACGAATAATTAACATAGATTATTCATTATTCACCGAGAAGCAACGAAAGCACACCACATTTATTAAAAGTAATAGAAGACTGTAAATCTTGTTTTAGTTATACATTTTTAATCTTCCAAGGACTGCATACACATCAAATCTCTAACACTAAAGATAAAATTGAACAGGATTGGAATGTTGTAAATCACAAATTTATGGTGCAGACGTAGGGTATAAAATGTCTTGTGTGGCTGCTAGAGATAACCTTTCAATTTTTACCCTTTGTGTCTAAGTTTCCCAGGAAAGTTGTTATAGCCTTTGTGGGTTGTTATTGATTTCTCTTTTATTAAAAATGACGTTTAAGCTGTATTCAGTCAAATCAGTAGTGCGTTTTCATTGTGTCTCAGCATATAATTTTATGATGAATTGAACAAGATATTGTTTAAAAGACAATATCTATTGAATATGTGGATGAAAATATTACAATAACCAGCGGTTGCCAAGCAAGATACGCCCACATTTTGCAAGAGATGGATAGAGAACAAGCTAAAAACAAAAGTGATTTTTCGTACAATCAGGGACCATAATCCAGAAAGTTATGGTCTGTAATGTGCAAATATCAAAAGGGACCAAGATCTTTGGGATATAAAGATATATTTTAAGTTGCATCAAAATCGGATAAAAATTGTGACCTCTAGAGGTCTACATTATTACATACTTTTACACTATTTGCACACAAAGAGCAGCCATTTGAAGTCAACCTTCATTATGGTGGAATGGTGATATATTTAAACAGTTTTTATATTAACAATTGTGACCTCTAGAGAATCCACAAGCTAAAAAACACGATTTTTCGAACAATCATGGGCCATAATCCAGGAAGTTACAATCTGATATGCACGAATGTATACAGGAATCAAGAACTTTGGGTTATAACCATACATTTCAAGTTTCATCAAAATCGGATAAAAATCAGATGAAAATGTGGGCATATAAAAATAGAACATAATGCAAGAGAGATAAATATATACTGTTCATTATGCATGAAAACAGTACTCGTATCTAAACCTATATTATTCATTGATATCTCATGGACATTTACATCTTATGCATGAAAATAATGCTCTTTACCAAAACCAATCTTATTCATTGATATCACAGAGTTTTAATTCTTATGCATTAAAATAATTCTCTGTACCTAAACTTATCTTACTCATTGATATCAGTTGTGTTGTTAGCACAGTACAGTCATGGAATTTTATATCTTAATGTCATCCCTTTACTTTCGTTTTCATACCATTTTATTTGCTGTTTAGACCTACCCATAGTCATGATGATCTGCTAAAACTTGATATTTCAAAGGTTTGTCTAATTTTCTAATTCAATTTTACATATATCATCCAACATATTCATCTGTTTTCAACTAATTAACTAGATGCTGGCTATCTCACCTGTTATATACCACATAAAATAAAATTACCTTGGGTCTAGCACCACCACAATTCACATTAATTCATAGAATTCGTAATGTTATAGGCAAAACATGTAAAAGTCATATTTTCTGACACAACAATAATTAATTAACTTAGAATGTTCCATTTGTACTATTATTACACCAATCACAATGTTATAAAACTTGTCTCATCTTATTGCAGGAATCAAAACTGTCAAATTATATTATTGCAATAAGTTTAGAAATGCCACCCAGGAAAGAAAAATAGTTTCATATTCAAAATGTTTTCTATGCCACTCCTCTGAAGATAACTTGAAATATCCACCAATATTAGTCCACTACCAAAGACACTGCTTACTTTTTAATTCATAATTAGCTACCTGTAAATATAATAAGTCTATAAATACATTTTTAACTTTTTCATAATCAGATCATAAATATGGAATCAGAGAATTCACAACTTCACTTTTTGAGAGTCATTCTTTCAAGTCTCTTCAAATTGGGTGATATATGAATACGAATCTCTTGCAAACTATTATTGTAAAAGTTCAATCTCAATAGGAATATCAATCCATAAATGGTTCAATTTCTTTCAGTCCTTACAAAGTTATGATGGACAAAAATACCATATATTTATGCTGCTCATTATGTAAACACTTTTTTTATGTTTTGCAAAACCTAATTGAAGGGCCTGTTTTTAATCTGATCGAATCAAAGACAGCAGATTATCTAGTGTTGATATCTTGATTTTGTTTTCATAATTAAATGTTAAATAATCAATCTGAGTACATATTAGAATGGATTGAGCGTAAGAAATTTGATATTTTCCAAAAAATAAAATCACGCAAAGTAACTTTAAGTGTTCATTATTATAAATACTTGTACTAAAGAACCATAACAGTTTTTTTTACAATATCCAATTAAACTTACAAACATAGTAAAATATGCCAGTACACTCACCTACTGATGGTTTTTTCATGTTTTTAGGCCACGCAATATTAGCCGCTTTTCTTTTATAAGCAAAATAACAGTCAACACCTTTACCCAGATGTTCTGATTTAATCAGCTGTGGACAAACATTATCGGCTAAAGTTGTTTCTGGAAATATATAAGTATACGAAAATATAGGTTTCTATTTTAACAGAACATAGAAACAAAAGCAGAAAAAAAAAATGGTTTAATACAAATTACCTCCCTTGACACACTAAAGGGGAGACAACTCTGATAATTTCGAAAAACATTTGTCTCCTGACAACCAGATCCTGTAGCCTTTCCTGCAGTGTAAATACTATACTAGCGAGAGATATATAAATTTGATACAATTATTCAACAATTATCTAATCTTACCTGTTCCTTGAACTAATAAATATAAACCATAATCCTGTGGGTTTGTGATCTTAAACTTATGCGCAATCATAGCACCTGAAATCAAAATAATATATCAAATAAAACTCTTTTATAATATACAGTCTATCTGTATTCCTGAAATATGATTTTTTAAAATAAAGAATTAAGTAAATGAATCAACAGTATTGCAAATTTCATATATAAAAAAACAAACCATCATTTGAATTAGTAACAATTAAATAAAATAGAGTCATAATGTTGCTTTGTTACTACTGCTTAAAACACAAAATACTTGCCAAATTTTTTCTAGGGGTGATTTTTAATTTTTAAGTGTACACCAGTCTACCTACAGAGATAAATATTATTGTGGAATATATACTTACAGACATCTTTAGTGTTCATGTTTGGTCTAACAGGTAAGGTTTTCCATGTAATACTGTCTTTAATTTCATCTGGTAGGGCAACTTTCAGGAAACCCTGCATGTCACTAATACTGGGCAGGCGACTCTGGTGTGATGTCATTTCATGTGTTTGTTTAAAGTTACGAAGAACCAACACAGCACTACTAAATGTCGTAAGATAATATCCCCCTTCCCCACTCTGTAATGTCTGATTTAACAAGCCCCACATATAATCAGCCTCGATTTCAGCCGATACCATCCCAGAATGCACCAAAACATAGATTAACATCGGAAGAAAATCATCTGCTCCTAATGATGCTGGACCTCGATTTGGAATTTGTTTTTTGCCTTGCACCTGAAAAGTTATTAAACATATTTAAAGTTTCCTACATTTCTATAATTCTTCAGGTAAATTTAAACATGAAGTGTCTAGACTAATTTATTTTATCATTTTGTAAAGCATCGACCAATCAAATTACTTATCACTCTGCATAACCTGAACAGAAAATGCTCAGTATGACACTTATTAGGGGTATTGATTTAATGAAACTATACACTAAGTTCCATCACTCTAACTCAATTAGTTATCAAGTTCCAAATCCTCAACCAATCAAATTATTTATCTCTGCTCAGCCTTAGTGGAAAATGCTCATCATCAAACTCAGTCAAGTCAATCGTCTAATAAACAAAAGCTGATCAATTAGTATCAGAGTTATTGTACCCCCAAAACAGACAGATCTTAATAGTCCCCTGCTTTCTTCAAACAGTGGAGGACAAGAAGCAGAGAGTTAATGGTTTATTCAAGCTGCATCTGAACAACATTATTGCAGCCAAATTCTAGAGAGGAATATACTGTTTTTTCACATAAGTATTTATTATTTGAGGTAGCAAGATGAAGATAAAAAATCTAGTTAATATAAACTTACACATTGATAAATAGTTGAGGTGGCTGCTAGTAAATTTTCTAGTTTTTTAACAGGTGAGTAGGCTCTCTGCATCTTACCCAGGTGATGTTTGATTAATTCCATATCACTACCCTGTGGGGGTTGAATTCCAGGCTGTAAATAGAAACATTGATGATCAGCTAGAAATGATTATTTAATGTTTGGAAAAGACTTAACATTTTTATAGTGTTATCACTTACCAACTTTTACAAAGGGTTAAACACTTTGTCATTTATAAATAGGAAATTTCAGTTTTAAAAGAAACATGGCACCAACTCAATCAGTGATTGTTTTATATTGCAAAAGAGTTTTAAGCAAAAGAGAGTCTAGGAAGTCCAACTGCAAGTTTTTGTCTTCAATGCAACATACAAAACAAGTACTGGTACATATGAAATCGTTTTGACTATCTGGCAACTTCTAGAATTGGGATGTCTGAAGTAAGTTTTTGTCTTCTCAAAAGAAACATAATAGAACATACTAAATAAGAATGAATCAAGTTACTATTAAATTCTTACCTTAATTCCTATTTCTTGAGGTGTCTTATTTCTAGCATATTTTATATTTGCTGACATCAATTCTAAATTACCATTTCTATAACACAGAATGTAAAACATAACCTCATCTTTAAAGCAAGTTACAATTTCTTTAACAATACCATATGGTTAGTTGTAGAAGTTATTGAATTAATCAAGCATTTTAGTTTCATAATTTGTTTAAATAATTACCGATGTAATAGTATAATGGTGAACAAATTACTAGGAGGAATAAAGGAAGCCTGGGGCTGCATGTGGAAGAATGTAACCTGGGACTCTGACCACTTGGCTACTGAAAAGATAACAAAACCTACTTGCTATGATGTTGAACAAACAGTCTATATATATAATGTTTTAATGGTCGTATAACACACACATGTAGAGCACCTTCTATTAAAGTATCTATATTTAATATCTCTGTAGAACCAAGCTGAAAGACAAAAACAAATAGATCATCACCATAACAGGATTACAATAAGGTCATTTAACAGCACCACTGGATTCTGTATCTGAAAAGGCACAATTGAGCCTTTAATCAAAAGATCCATCCAATACTAACAAATCATTTTGCAGTTAATATACTGTGTTAACATTTTTCACCATATTCCTAGTATACTGAACTATAAGAGATCCTACCTTACTGCGTTCTCTTTCTATCATATCAGTTAATTCACCTTCTCCATGTTTTATTAAATAATTTTTTATACCGGTCATAAACTGTCGAACCTAGAAATTATCATGAAACGTTACAATCAGAATGAGGTGGAAATGTCTCTTAATGATGCAGCATTTTGTCCAAAATATTTTTTATATCTTATTTAGTAATTTTCTTCACAAAAAGGGGGTTAGATTAGAACCTCTGTTTATTGTTTGAATGGGTAATTTTGGCAGTTAAACAGTCCCCTCCCTCTACGAAATTCATGCCTAAGCAATCAGGAATTTTTGACATGTGACCAGTGCTTTCACATTTCATTTAATCACTGCAATATTGACGTTTTAAAATCTGAAACTAAATAAATCTAAATTATGATATAATCCTTTCAGATATTAAAAAGAACTGTTCTGAACTCATACTTACATTTCTAACGACTATATGCGGACTAGTTTCCTGTCCGTCTAGAGTACACTGTATAAAGTTATCTATCGTACTACCAAATGTTAAACTACGATCTTGAGACATTCTGAAATAACACAAATAAGCCTTATATTCAAATCTTATCAATCTGATCAAATAATTTATTTTTCCAACATCATTTACTTTAAGAATAATATTCTCAAACACCAATGTTAATCTTTAATCAAAATCTATTATATCTACAGAAATAACAAGCAGTTGCCATGCAATATATGCCCACATTTTGCAAGAGATGGACAGAGAGCAAACTAAAAAAAACCCACAATTTTTTGTACAATCAGGGGGCATAATGTTGGAAGTTATGGTCCGATATGTGTGAATATTTAAAGGAATGGCGATCTTTGGGTTATAAACATACATTTCAAGTTTCATCAAAATCGGATAAAAATTGTGACCTTTAATAGAGTGTCCACAAGCTAAAAACATGATTTTTTGTACAATCCGGAACCATAATCCATGAATTGATGCAAACCAAAATCTTTTGGAGATACACCTATATTTCAAGTTTCGTTAAAACTGGATAAAATTTGTGACCTGTAGAGTGTCCACAAACAAATTGTGGATGGACGGCTGGATGTCCGTCCAGATTATACAACTTGAAATACAAATATTCATAGTACCACCATGTTCCTTATTATTTACTTGCTTCCATGACATAACCACACAGGACACTACTATGAACATATTACATTGTACACAATAAACATTGTTATTCTTTGATAGGAAATGGGAGCCTTTATGAGACACTAACAACTGACCAAGAAGTAATTATCAGAAATAATTAAAATTTGACAGGTTTAGACAATAATGATAACTTTAGCATTCACCAGTTTTTTTAACTAGTTACCAAGTAATTGTGCTCTGATCCAAAATTTATTGGAAGATTGGTTTCAGAATGCCAACTTTGTGGATTTTCACATTTCATTGCAGGTGTATAAAAAATAAATGAATTCAAGCTACTACCAACCTGTATATATATTCTCTAATTTTAGCACCAGGACCAGTTGTAGATTGACAAGATGACTTAGCTGAAACATAAACAAATATTATGTATAACTTTAAATTTAAAAGGAACATCACTTTTTTTTTATGTGAGCTACATGTATCAAGTCAGTGTCAATATTTAGGCCACACAAAAACTCTGGTGATGGGGGAGTATCTGAGAACCAGAATATTTTTTGTATGGCCTTATGTTCCTGATGATTTCCTCTGAAAATTAGGTTTTAGGAATGACCATAATTCTGGAAAAGTGTAGTTTGGTATCCTCCAATTCAAAGCTTAAAACTATCGATACTTACAGACCATTGGTCTCATTCTCTCCTTTAAATCAGCTGTTATGAATTTATCGTCATCTTCGTCATTACTCAACAAAACATCATCATCAGATTCTACATCACTGGCATGTATACAACTATCACGCTGATCACTAACTCCATTTACACTACTCTGCTGATTGGTGGAATGATGACTAATTCTTACATGTGATTGGCTAGTTTGGGCATTATTTACATCGTTAGATATCACAGAATTCGGAGCTTCACTAAATGTCACACTGGCACGATTACTATTTGGACAATGCTCGAATCGTTTATTTTTCTCCTGCCATTGCTGGATTTTTTCTTTCGGATCCATGGCAGGAACGTGTATTTTTAAGGATTGCTCTAAAAGATTATCCAGAAATGCATTATCCCAGGGTTTACAAAACACAGTTCCAACACTACTTGGCGCTCGATTGCTTCCTGCTGCATACTGACCTAAATTATCATATTCTGACACACGTTTCAGATGCTGAAGATGGATTGGACGAACGGCAAGTTCCGGATGAGCACCAGAAATCATGTCTTGTACGGTTGACGATTCCGAATAATACGATGTCCTGTTTGTGTTTCTATCTGTCACGTTGGGAGGTTGATAAACAGGGAATTTAGACAGGGGGCTACTAGGAGATTCATTATCCATATCCTCAGCACTGAACATAGAATCATCAAAACTATTTACATGACCAGTTCTTTCATTTCTGTTTGAGTCTCCATTTTGTTGTCCTTGTAACACATGTTCATTATTTTGGATGTTCAACTTTAATAATTTTCTTTGCCAAATTTTTTGTCCACTTGATCGATTTTCTTGGCCTGTTCTCATACTCTGACTGCGAGAAATTCTCTTTTCACGACGCTGAGATTGCATTTGTAGATGTGCTTGAGCACTTTGCTGACCGAATGTGAAGAACTTTTTCTTCTCTTCGATCATTTGTCTTGGAGACAGAATTGTTTCTAATCCAGGATTTCTTGACACTTGTTTATCCATTTGTTTTAACGGACCAGATGGTGCTGAAAGTCTACGTATTCTTACACTGAGAGCTGATTTACCGTTTAATTTCACTGCATCAACAGGTTCCATATAAACAGGACTGGTTAAATTTGTCAAGGAAGATGTAGATGATGATTTCACTCGCGACAAAGCTGCTAATGGAGGGGGCTTTTTTCTCAAAATTTTTGAAAATTCACTCCTAAATGTTTTTAGTTCTGCCGTTTGAACAGTTTTCACTGATTTTACAAATCCATGATTGCCTGGTTCAGTGTTTGCAATCTTTTGTGACAGGACTTTGTCTACTTTTGTTTTATCTACATTTTTCACAGCACAATCACTTCCTGGATGCATATTATTATTAATTCTAGGAACCATATTTATACTAGTTCCCGAGTCTGTCACCAAATGGCGATTTAACCTTTGGCACAAATTATTCCGAACACTTTCAGAATCACTGACAGAATTCTTCCATATATCTTCATAGTCACTAAGTTTATCTGAAAGACTACTTTTAAAGTAAGTCGTTTCTGGTATATTCACTAGATCCAAAGATGTGGAGAAATAAAGGTTTGATTTGTTTTTCTTTGATACAGGCGGATGAGTCTGTGATTGGTCGTAAATATGTTTCGAAAGATCAACACCGCTATCCATATCAATAGATCGACCATCAGACCCTGTCTGTTTATGATAATCCCCTTCGGCTTGTTGATAATCCTCAAATTCAGGGGAAGTAACTCCAGATTCACTTCTGTATAGTTTTGACTTTGGCGGTACCAATGGCGGTTTAAAGCGACTCTCTATTTCCGTAAATTCTGACAAAGTTTGTGAAGAGTTGTCCTTCATCATAGTAGGAAATTCTGCCACAGAATGTGATGGGATTTTTGATATTTTTAATGGAAACTGACACCAGGCGGCTGTGCTTTTTGGATGTGTAATATTGATGGGTTCACTGCAGGATTTATGTAAAGGAGCTCCCTCGTGAAGACAACCAACTTTAGCTTTTGACGATGTCCAAAAATCTGTAAAATAAAGATTAGCACTATATATAAACACATACGTGATAGAACACAAATGAATAGAATCAAAAAGGTTGCAAGATTCAAAAAACATTTAACGGATAGATTTGAATGTCTTGTTAATACAATATGGTAATTTTAGTTGGTTGTGTCGTGCAAGGCAGAGAGAATTTTCACCCTAATGGCAATATTTTGCCAGCTCTGTTTTTTTTTTTGGCTAAGCCTATTGCCCAATCCCATTCAGATATATTTATATATTGATTAAGAAAATGAATTTCAACCATCAAAAGACATCTTACAAAGCACACAAGAAATAGGTTTTTTGTACTATTTGAATGACTAGTCAGAGAGAATGTATATCTAAAACAAACCAATACATCTATGACATAAATATTGTAACCACCTACCTTGTCCTAACATGGCAATCGCTGACAATTCTTGTGATGTTTTAGCATGGAAAATGGCTGCTGGTAGAATCAACCTGTGTGGTAGTTCATCCCTAAAATAAAACATGAAGCAGGAAAATAGAAACAATGACTACCACCACAAAAAAAACAAGCAAAAATAGAAACCTCTACATTCTTTCTGCCCAATTAACAATCAGTAGATCATTTAACACTAGCTTCAATAGGATCTCTGACTAATTGCTTACAGTTGTTTTTATGAGGATGTCATGAGTAGAGTAAAACCACAAGTCATGAATTTATTACTACCAATTACTCTTTTTTCTGTTCGTAACACTAATTTCCACACCCCACATCAGACAAAATAATCAACAATCTCAATATTAAATTCAGCGGCAGAATTATCCAATTATCGCATGTTATTAACTAATCATATAATTTGTGCAGTAGTAATAACTACCCATTTCATTGTGATACTTCTATATAAATTAGCTTAGATACAGAAATAGTCAATAAAATAAAAACACCACAGAAATTAATTTTTAAATGGAATACACCACAGACATAAAAAATTAAAAAAAAAAAAACAACAATACACCACAGAAATTAATTCAAAAATTGTCCAAATTAGGAATAATCCAAATATTCTAAATAAACATGTTTTGATAGAAAGAATAAATACAGAACGTGATCCCAAAATTCCTAGACATTTTTCTGTTTATTGACATGTACACTTGCTATTCATACCAACAGCATAAAGAGCTTGAATGAAATAAGTAAAGTGGGAAACAAGTTACTGTATTTTATGATCTGTTAAACTCATTATTTTAATGCATGGTAGAATGGATAAAATACTAAAATTTATTATAAATATTTATGTCTGTTTTAGTTTTATCTACTCCCACACTTCACCTACATGCTGTAAGCTCCTCTTTTATATATACTGGTTTTAAGACTATGTCACTGACTCAGATGACACCATTTCATCAGCTGATTCCTGTTTATAGAAGTTTACATGAGATGTTTGCCGCCTACACTTTTTACCTACCAACGGGGAATCACCATCTTCTTGTAGGCTACAGAAGAGTACTAGTTTAACACTAGCTTAAATTACTTGCAAATTAAGCAGGTTAGAGATCCAGGACTTTACAGTCCATATTAATGTTTCATGTCCTCGGTGTCCCATGTATTTTTCCAGCATGTGATTGCTTGTCGTTATGTGCGTTGTAGTCATCCTGCACTTACTATTAAAGTCAATAAGGCACAAAGATTAAATGATACATTTGTTAAAAAAATAACTTACAAGTTTTGAATGTAGTGTGCAATTAAAGTAGGAATAGTTCTGAAATAATGAGCTGATCCTTGTAACTTCAGTCCACGATCTGTATTCTCTATCAAATAATGATCTACAGTTGAATTCCTCTCTGATCTACACTGTACGGACAGAGCTAGTGAATTTTTCTGACTTGACTGACGAACCAGGAAGGACTGGAAGACAAAATATTATTATGATTAATTAGTCACCAATAAAGTCACTGCATATTAAATAATGAGTAGTCTTGTTTGTCAAGACAAAAAATAATGAATGAATAACTAGACTGGATAAAGAAATGTTAAAAATGAAAGCAGATTGATGGATGAGGTGCAGAAATATACCCCAGGCTGACCCAATTGAATTTTAAAAAAATTCAATCTCTTTTATTCACAAATTGTGTATTGGGTACAAATGAACACTCATATAATATTTTACCTTGTGGGTCCTATTTTCAGAAAGAGTTTTGTGATTATCGGGGAGGGAGGAGGGAGGGGGGCTAAATATTTGTTTATTATCTAAATTGCTATCAAAAATATATTTTGAATTAACATAACAAGATTAAGTCATTTAGTCAGAATGTCTGATTAGACAAAATTGGTAGCCCAAAGCTACTACTGATTTAACAACATTTTACCAAAAAACAAGATGGCATAAAATAATTATGCAATACTGCCAGTCGCACTAATTTCAAAATGAACATTAATGGAATAAAATATTTATTATCTTCACAAAACTTTATAGATAGGTTACTTTCATTCTGTTTTCCCCTTTTCAACATGTAATGTGCTAACTGTGCTAAAGAACAGTTTACACCTAATGGTCTGCAACCTAATACCTGTATTATCATAATCAACAGGTAGATATCATTTGTTTCAACCTAATTTACATTTCCATGATAAAGGGGCATCTATTCAACTAACAGACGGTTTACACCCAGTGGTCTACATCCAATATCTATATTATGATAAACAACAGGTTGATATCATTGTTTCCCCTGATATCAATTTTCCTCACAATTCTCATCTTTAACCTATTACACTTCAACAACTTAAAACATATACTATATCACTAAAAGGTGAAAAGGTGCTTTTAATATCATTCAGTTCAATAGAATTAGGCAGCTATCTCTTACATGCAAATTCTACAAACATTGATTATATAGGCCACATCAGTTTGAACTTTTGATTTTTGGGAATTGTATTCTATTTCTTGAGGAAAAAATAATGATTTAAAAAACACAAATATATGGGTTGCTACTCTCTAAATAAACCATTTTTCATGAGACTTGAACAGCTATTTATTTATCAAGATCCCGAAAACTATAAATTAAATTAGTTATGTGTTTTTTTTTTTGTTACTCTGCATATTTAAAAACTCAAAATTGATATAAATGTTTCCTTACCCCAGTGGGCAGGTCCTTTAGTAAATGAACAGCTCCAGTCCGTCCAATATTCGACAGTAGCCATATTGTATGTGTTTTGGATAGCCTCTCAAAGAGGGTAATTTCGCGATATCCATCAGTGGGAGTCATTTGGACCTGAAATTATTATAACATATTATTAGTGTGTGATATTCATTATATTAATAATAAGTACCATTATAACAGCTTTACATTCAATTAGGTACTAAGATACTTCTAGGCCTCATTTAATACTTATTGATACACACAGAATACAATTTTTCTGAGGCCATGCCATACCGTTTTACATTGGCTTCATATCTATTTCTTATTAAGGCATACCAGTGTACTTCTATTCTGAAAGCGAAATGTCTGTGTAAAATATTTTCAAGAACACAATTATTCTTCATGATTACACAAAGAATGTCACAGTCTCCATCAAGTGGTGAAAAGCTGACAGCACAATATTCATAGAATTAAGTGGTTAAAACCATAGCAATTCTGTTACACCATATTCTTGTTATAAAATTAACACCCACATATATAACAAATTCATCAAATTCATTTATTTCTTCATTAATACTACAAAAGTATGCAAAAAGTGTTATGCACAGATTTTTTTAATATGTATATTATGTCATACCAATTTGATTATCTGTTCTTCAGAATTTTTCTTCTTATTTCTTTGGGAAAAAGACTAATTTAAAAACCAAATGGTTGCACTGTTCAATAAGCTTTTAGTTCTAAATTTTTAAGTTTTTTAAATTTTAAACTAAACATCTTTTATGTGATTCAAGTGGCTATTTATTTACTCCAAAACTGAAAATTAAATTGGTTTGTAGATTCTTGTTTTCATCAGCTATTTCAAGATAGTATGATTTTGTTTAACCACTGTCAACTGAAGATGATAAATTAACCACATCAATCATATTTTCTTTTTTTGATGAAAATAACTTTTTGCTAACTGAGGCTTTTACTTCTATAGTAATCTTCAAACCAGCACTATTTCATTCTTGGAACTCAACAACTGGATCACTTTGCTGGATGACTGTCAAAGCATTTACCTTTTCAAACTGCATTCTAGGTGGGAAATGATATACATATCTTTGTGGATATTGTGTTGTTATCGCAAGTTTGAAAGGATGTACAAAAATAAACAGCGAGATATTTTAGATAATTAGCTATCAATCTAAGAAGAGAGATTGTTTAACTACTGGTAGACTAAAATATCTTTTAGTAGGCAGGATTCATTCCTCAGATATATTTCATACTCTGTGCTTGTCTATTTGAACTCAAAGCACTAACAAAATATCAAAAAATGTTTTCTCTTCATTCATATCCTACAATATATGACCAACACCATCCTACTTTTTGAAAAACAATATTGTAATACAACTAATGAAATATTATTTGAAAATCATTGATATCCAATTTCATTATTTTCAAAATGGCCTATTGTAAATCATGTTTTGGAAAAGAGATTTTATACAGTTTTATTGAAATCTTTAGAAGACAGTAACAGTTCTGTGCAATATCAATAGATTAATCAAGTTTATGGCAATATGAAAGTATGGCACAAAGAACCAGATGCATGCAACAATTATAATGTGACAATTCATAACATTATTATGGATCAGGAAGCAAATCTCAGACATGTCACACCTGAATTGACCTGTAAGATGTTTTCTCACCTGTCCAGAATCAGAGAATTTGTTCATTGTATCCGACGTCTGCTGTTGAAGTGAGGAACTGGAGTGGTGATTATCATCATGACCACTGTCACTGGTTGATTCATTATCACTACTACTTAAACTTAATTCACTGGCACATCTAGAAATACAAAAATATTACAATATATCAAATATGTTTTTCCATCTAATCTAAACATAGACAGATTTAGCTCTTGCATAATGTATGTTTAACATAAAGAGACCATAATCAACTTTTGATGCCATCTCTGATCATTAACTGCAAAAATGGATAATTGAGACTTTGTTATTATCATGACAGTGGTAACATTGACAATCGAGGCTATAGTGATCTGAAAATAAGGTTCTCAGCTTAGTGTGGAAGCAATTTGACTGAAATTTTCAGCATATTCCCTTTACATTATCCAGTTTTTAACTATTATAGTGAGACCTGCCAGCTCTTTATCTAATCGTCCATAATGTATCTTTAACTGGTCAAAATGAAAAAAATGGCAAAATCAGTAAATTTGAGTTTGTCGTAACTTGTTTGGTCTAGTCATATTTTTGATTGATAGGTTAATATCAGCACATATATGAGCTCTTTGAATAAATGTATGTTGTTGTTCTTAGTGTTTAACGTCTGCTTCCACCGAAGGTGATATCGCAGACAAGTCTTATTTTTATTTTATTTTTCCTTAGCGCACGCGCAGGCGTCTTTCCTGTGGGAGGAAACCAGAGTACCCCGAGTATACCCACGAGGTTGAGAAGGCGCCCCTATCTCCATGCCACATACGCTTACACCAGGGATCAAAACCATAGCTGCAAGTCAGAGGTGACCGGCCAGCTAGAGGTTGAAGCGCGGCACTCTAGGCCATCCCCCCCCCCCCCTTGAATAAATGTAACAGTGTCATTTAATTTATAGCAAAATAACTTCCTGTTAATATAATTCCTTCTTAATATCCCTAACATTTGTTTAATTAAAGGTATAATATCCCTAACATTTGTTCAATTAAAGGTAAAATATTCCTATCATATGTTCAATTAAAGGTATAATATATTCCAGCCTAAATAGGTTTAAGTATTATTCAGATCAATCAATTTTTATAACTTCTGGAGCATGCAGTCTTTCAGCTATTTGTTTGTGGTTGTTTCTTTTGTGCACCAGGACAAGAAATTGTCATGAATATTAACATTAAATACACATTGCAGCAGAAGTAGAAAGTCAATAAACATTTTCCGTGTTCAAATTTACCAAAATATGGATGGGTTGAAAAGGTTCTTTAAATAGTAATTTAGACAATTAAAACAAAAACTTGAGTTTATATACTGCCTTGACCTTGATTGGCAAGATCAGAAATGGATTATCATTCAGAAATCAATGGCCAATTATAATTGTAAATTTTGGGCCAATATGTTTTTTTGGGACAATTTTGTGTTACTTATGGTCTGAAAGTCAGTAACTGCTGTTGATTCTTGAATCTTGACCCTTTAAATAAATTATATTTTATTGATTTCTTAAAAGTGATCGATAAACTTTTTCTGTTAAAAAAACATCCATGTACATGTGGAAATGATTCAGATGCTTTGTACTCCTGCTGTAGTTAGAAAGCCATATTATATGATGCTTGCTACTGTGAGGTGAGGTGAGGAACTCATCATCATTCTGTTTACATTAAACAGGTTCCAGTGCTGAATGATGCCAGCATCTATAACATGGTGCCAAGACGAATGAAAGGAATTTTTTTATTGTACTGAAATCAACTCTCATTAACTCTAGGTGTATTTATGACTAAACTATAATTATGTTAAGACAAGCCAATTTCTTCCTGGGGCCATAAAACTACCAAAACATGGAATGAGATTATTTTTGTTCAAACATGTGTCTGCTGGAAGGTTTCATGAGCAAAATTTACTTTGATCTGTAATCTAGATTAGCTAATCCCCCAGGCATTATATACAATTTGAACAAATGGAATTGGAATATTTCTGTGCCAAAAACTGGGGTTAAGTAAGGCTAAACAAAAACTACTAAATAAATCTAGAACCTATATGTAATGGTACTCAGTCCAGAAATGAAATGGGGTTTAACCCGCTAATTTAGACGGACACACGCCATACACTGAGCTATGAGAGATATTTTATTTTGTCTTGATAGCATCGCTAAGAAGACACACTCTTATTTTTTTAATTCCAACTGTCAAGGATTCTTTTATATTCTCCATCTTGCACCACTGACAAGGGAAACTACACCGAAAATTCCACAGCCAACCCTGGAATTAATTCTGTGACCTCCAGAGGTTAGCAAGCCATAGATTTCCTCACTGACCCGGAAACTAGAACCATTCTGCTAATTTCTCAGTTGTCTTGAGCTGTGATCGGGTTCAGTTTAAGTTTTAGTACTGGTAAATAGTTGTTTCAGAACATTTGAGCATACATTTTTAGTAGTGACCTAATACTACAGTATCATCTTCTTGGAATTTACCTTAGGCATCTTGAATTTTACTTTTTGTGTGACGAGTTCAACATTTTTGAATGCGTAAAAGTTCTTAATTATTATTGAGATCAGACCTGGACCTGGTACAGTACACTGGTTTACAGTGCAAAACTCTATCACCTTTGCTTTGCTAATTTATAAATAAGGCAAAGATAGACCAAAGACATGTTTTAACTGGCACAAACAATTTTTATCTTAAATATAAACAGATCTACACTAAACCACAGACCTTATAATATCCTATGACTTACACAAAACTATAAATCAGATATTTTGACACTAATTACCCCACTCAGATTAACTTAAAAATAAAAGAAAACTGTACACATTTTGATTAAAGTCACTTCACTTTAAATTTTTATTCTGTGCACATTTAAGACAATTTGTATTCTTATTCTGTGCACATTTAAGACTTTTTGTATTCTTATTCTGCACATTTCAAACATCTGTTCTAGATGTATTAGACATAGACGAAGCACGGTTTCTCATCACTTCTGAATGACTAGACAAACTTCTAACAAGTGGGAACTGGTCCAAAAGAAAATACTATAATCTACTTACGTGACAAGATTAGCGTGTTTAATTTCTTCTTGATGATAGATGGCAACATTTACACAATCATCTGCGTTAAAATCACCTCTATCTGTTACCTCCCCTGTTTGGGTATGACATATATCTGTCACTAGTAAATCTAAATCACTTGCAATGCTGTTTAACATCTGAAAAAACATGAAAATATTCATAAGAAAATAATTAGACAGAAGTGGGCTTGCCGGGTCCCATAAGTACACCTACCAGCAGCAAAGCTGTCCGTGAGCATTCCTGTATTGTGTTTACAAGCTCAGGTCCAAAATATGTGTTTGAAACTTAATGAGTTATATCTTCATGATTTTTTTTTGATTTTTTATAAGCTATATTGTATCTGAATGGGGATTGGGGAACAGGCATAGCCTATATTAAACCCTTCTCCCTGTCAGATATAGATACATGTATTTACATAAAGAAACAAACAATGTATAAGTGCAAATATAATTACAGTGAATGTGTTATAGTTGCCATTGGAACCGTTTTTTGATTTCGAACAACAAATGGACAGATTTACGACTATATCGGCAATCCTATATACCGGAAAACAACCGGAAAACACCAGAAAACAACCGGAAAACACCAGAAAACAACCGGAAAACACCATTTTATACTGAATACCGGAAAACACTGGAAAAACACTAAATACCGGAAAACACACTAAATACCGGAAAACACACTAAATACTGGAAAATACCTTAAATAGGTAACCCGGAGACTGGCACTCTAAATAGGTAACCGGGAGCCTGGTCCTCTGTGTGCCTTGGTTAGGGTTAGAGTTAGGGTTAGTTTCCGGTTTATAGTATAGCCCTTCTCCGGGTTACCTATTTAGGGTGGTTTCCGGTATTTAGTGTGTTTTCTGGTATTTAGTGTTTTTCCGGTATTCAGTATAACATAGTGTTTTCCCGTAGTTTTCCGGTGTTTTCCGGTATATAGTATAGCCCCGACTATATTGTCCCAAGAAACAATTCAACCAAATTTTACACAATTCCAATAAAAACTTTGTCCTGTATCACATTCACAACCTTTAAAAGTCACAATGTGAACTAAAAGATGTATTTAAGTCAGTGGGATATGTAGTTGAACTCAAAAAGAAAACATAACAGAACAATCTAGATGTACCTTAGATGATCACAATCAGAGCACATCACATATTTACATACTGTGCACATTATGTTAGTACATACATATACTGGTACACTATAAACCTCCACTGTGCTATAAATAATTGTTTTAATTTAATTGCACAAAACAATTTAAATCATATACATTATAAACATTTTCTTCTTTCCTAGTCATGTTTATTTCTAACTTAAGAAATTTGTAAACTAAAAAGAATCTATTACAATCTACAAGTACAATTATCACATGGCTACCTGCAGAAAACATAAATATTTTACCTGAGCAGTAACATGTAACGTCTTTAAACAAATCTTTTTTCCTAGTTAATAATATCTTAAAATGGGAATTAATTTGGCAATCAGTCAAGAATTTGAAGAGATAATTAACAAACTTATAAACAAAGTATCAGCTCATTTCATCACTTTCATCTTGTCAGGCCCAACAATCTTCACTATATATAACATGTAAATATTATACAAAAAGAATATTTCGAGTAGGAGAGATAAAAGGTAAAGTGGGAAAATATATTAATTTGAAGATAAAAAAATAAGATAACTGGTCTGTCAATCAACAGAAACCAATCCTGAAAACTATTATTATCAATTACTGAAATACTCCTTCAATTTTTGTATAAACTGCGTGATGAATATGCCAGTAAATGATAGAAATAGATCATTTATGCATAACCATGTATCATAGCACACAAATTGTTTTCGTAACTTGTAAATTAGGCTTCCATCATTCAAACAAAAATGGAGGAATCGACTCTCATAAAACTGACGATAAACTTTCATAAAATATACCATAATTATGGCCTACCTGCAAAGAAGCCAACAGACACTGATCTAGCAAATCATTATTTTTACTATAATACCATATATTATGACTTTTGATCATGACACTCTCAACGATTTCTAATAAACCATTAAATATATATTATTACAACAAAACCTAAGGGGATTCCCCCAAATAAACAGGATAATAAAAGGGGTGTCCACTCTTTAGAACTAGCAATCTTATAACAATACTTTAAGCTAAATCCTATATGTGTCTATATAGATCAACCCTCCAAATTACTATAATAAAGGTAGGTTTGTCAATTAACAATATTAAAAGAAAGATCAATAAAAAAGTAGTTACCTGAACCCTACCTGTGTTTATAACCAACAGTTGTTGTTTTAAATCCAATAATAAGCCACATGGCTTTACTTTTATTGTCTATAAATATAGCATTAATTTCATTACTTAGACCTGCTGTCTTTTGAAATTTGCATTAACAAATATTTGGTTTATGCTTTTTAAAACCAGCTAATGGTGTGACCTATCCTATTGATTGATCAAACTGTTTTATACAAAATTAAAGTCTTCTGAATCTACTTGATTAGAATACCTTTATAATTGATTTACATAAGTACTATCTTCATGATTGAAGTTTTTAATTGAAAGACTTTGCTGATCTTATTCACACCTTTTTTTGTAATATTTTAAGTAACTTGTATTTCACAGCGTGAAGGATTAAAGTCAATTTATTTGATCTAGAACTAATCCTCTGTTTATTTATTTAACTAATTAGTTTGTTGAAATAACAGCTTTTCTTTTTCCAGGGTTTCTTTTAATAAATCTAAATTATTTGTTCTTTGACTTTCAAATCTCTTTGTAATATTTCACCGATTTTTAAAAACTTGTAATTTATAAACTAACTTATAGTTCTATTTAGAAACTAACATACAGTTCTATTTCTAGGGTTTCTTTTAATAAATCTAAATTATTTGTTCTTCGACTTTCAAGTCTCTTTGTAATATTTCACCTATTTGTAATTTGGAGACTAACATAGGCCCTACAGTTCTTTTTCTAGGGTTTCCTTTAAGAAATATAGAGTATTTGTGCTTCGACTTTCAAATCTCTTTGTCGTATTTCACCGATTTTTAAAACTTGTAATTTAGAGACTAACATACGGTTCTTATTCTGGGGTTTCTTTCAAGAAATATAGAGTAATTTTTCTTCTACTTTTAAAAACCAGAGTGTATCTCTTTGTAATTATTTCAAAGACTTCTAAAAACTTGTAATTTTGATACTATTATACTATTTTTTCTTCTATTGTTTTATTATCAAAAAAAGAAAAAAAGAAAAGGAATAGAATTTAATGTCTCGTCAACATAATACTGTTGGTTATTTGAGACTAACACATATAATTAATTTTTTTTTATGGTCACACATATTTATGCCTGCTATACAAATTTTTAGTCCAATGTTTTATCTGCTCGACTACTGCTCCACTCCACTAAGCACAAAGAAAACTGGGCATAAACATAATTCAAAATGAATGAAGATCATTCCAGGAATACCTGATACCCTATGTGCTTAGCTATGAGGTGAGAACTGGTATGGGGAGATTCACCATAGACATTTTTGGAAATTCACTTTACAAAATCTGAAACACCAGTATAAGGTGAGGACAGTTGCATATTTTTTAGAATTTCTAACATGTTATTGCAATATTCTAACTAGGTTATCAACTTAATACAGACAACACACCATTGTAAGCCAATAATTATTCATCCAAGTTTGGTTTCAGAAAGAATTAAGAAACAAAAAACAGAAATTTTAGAATTTTCTTGAGCCTCCTGATAACATTCTGATTTTGTTTATCAACAAAAAACAAAGTCGAGATTGTAATTATGAGAACTGTTTATCCTGCATTTGCCAAATTACAGCTTCATTCAACTAAAACATCCTCAAACATTAATCATTAAACCATTGGGATCCATAGATCATGTTGCCAGAATCACAGAGTTACAAACCTTTTTCTCACAAGTTTGTAATTGATGTTAACGACAAACATGGCAAAGATTTAGAAATTATTTTGGTAGTGGGTTTGTTAGAGTAATTACAAATACCACAGTTAACTAAATAAGATGACATATGTACTTGTAGTCACTGGTACGTCTGGTTGTAAATGAAATAAACTAGGGATAGATTAAACATACATTATGCAAGAGCTAAATCTGTCTATTGCAGGTCTGTCTTTAGGCCTGAAATGTTATCTAATTATTAATTAGACATTAATTAACTTATTCATACCATAATCAACTCCAGATGGCATCGCTAGCCTGCGATCTTTAGTGGATTGTGAGCCGATTTACTGCATAACTTTCCTTCACAATTTAACGATTAAATGGATAATCAAGACTATGCTGTTTATCGTACTGACTTTAGTAATGATGATCAAGGCTAGGCAGAAATTCAATCGCTTTGTTCTCAGTTCATAGTGGATCAATTTGAATGAAATTTTCGGCAAATTGCCTTTACATTATCTAGTTTTTAACTATTATAGTGAGAACTCCCATAATGTATCTTTAAGAAGGAGCCTGTTAATATGGTTGGATCTGGGGCCCTGAAAGAAGTTAATTTCTCACACAGTTTGGGTAACCTTTTTAGTCTTGAATTTACATTGTTTTTGATGACTTGGGAAGATTGGCACACACTAATTTGTGCTTAAGCTACATGTAGAAGTATCAGGATGCACCCTAGAAATCACCCTACACAGTCATTGATTAAAATATTATTGTTTCAACTGTTTCAAGTTGTTAACTTCACTAGTGACGGAAATTAAATTGGGATTATGTCAAGTCAATTTGCTTCAGGTTAAAATCCTGATTGTGCAGGCTTGGAAATGAGACATCTGTCGTAGACACTGTCCGGTACAAATACAGATATTGTCAGCCATAATCCCTCTGGTGCCAGATATGTATATTATAGTGCTTGACATTTTGTCAGATGCACTTTGGTTACCCCTGCATATAAGGGGGCTGGTTTACATACTGATAGTGGCGAATTAAAACAGCATGCACGCCACCATTTACACAATTGATTTATTAAGTTTATTTCCAATATATTGTTGTTTATTCGATGTACATGAAATTCTTCTAGAAAAAATAAATTTTTATCAGCACAATCATTTTGTTAAGTGACTTTGAGCCAGAGGTATGCATCAGAAATTTTGGCTTCAAAATTTTTCAACGCGGATTTAAACTCGTAATCTGAACAGCACACTTCATGACCACCATGCAAGGCAATCTCCAAGTGCATGCAGCAGTCATTTGATATTTCTGAATTGTAAATAGACTACAAAATGGAAAAATTGCCCATAAGAAATGCTGATATGTTATGACAGAGTTATATAGGATTGGGTATAAACATTTCAAGCTGACTTATTTTTAAACTTAATTTATATTCCTCTGTCAGACTGACATCAGTAATGAGCTAACCATTATTTAGTCCTGTTCATCAATGACTCAAACATTTTAACTATGTTTATGAGTTTGGATGATCAAGACTAACACCAAGGATGTTCATATATTTCTATCATCAAACACAAAAAAGCAGATGCAGGTTAATTACAAAATGCTTTCATCTATTAGGTTACAATCAAATATCAGAGTTTGTTGCAACAAAGAGATTCAGGAAATAACTCGGAGAGACAGAAATAAATGGATAAAATTACGTCTCCTAGAATGGTATCATTTAAATGAATGTCCTACATTTAAACAGATATGTTAGACACATTAGCCAAAGATAAGTCCTTAGTGTCTGTTGTAGACAATACAGGATAACTCCACAACAAATTACAGATAAAACTAATGATACGATAACAGCCATTAACAGATTGGACAAAATTTTTTTAAACCCCATTTAATTTCTTTTTATCAACTTTTTGAAATTAGAAAGTCATTTTCTGGGCTCAATGCTTACAAATTAAACTTAAAGAGTGATGCTTCGGTATGTTCAGTACAAAACCTACATTATCTTCTGACTACACTGGGAAACCTTTAATTTGTTTTTTTCGTTTGAGAGATAAGAAGCTTTCTTTAGTTAAATGCAGGAAGACATGATATACATGTAAGCCATATATACAATGAAAACAGAACGAAATTAGAATCACAGGTGAAAATTCTCCAGCGCAGGTGTTTGGTTCTAAACCCAATTAAACATTTGTTTTATACTCATCATAACACAAAAAATATTCATGAGAAAAACATAAAAAAGAAATAATATATTTTACCAATTATATCTGGCATTGACAGACCAGTCTATGGCTGAAACCTGTTGTCATCTATCATACCCTTCAATACCTAAGCCCATCTGCACTTAATTTATAAAACAGGAATTACAAAACAGAAAGATATAAACCCCATAAACATTTAGGCTATTTATTCAAAATATTTTTCCTTAGTTGTTTGTGAACACCAATATGGTTACTTTTGATAAAATTGTTCTTATAGTCTATAGGTTACGTGTGTTAACAGTGTAGAAGAATAAACATACGCTAACTAAAATCTGTGGACTACATAATTATTTAAAATCAGATTACAGAAATTTACTTCAGGCAAACTGACAAAAGAGAATAATAATAAAAGTTTAAATAAACAAACAATAATAAGTATGTATTTTCAATTATACAACAGAGAAATGCAGTTTAAGAAAAATAGGTCATTTTAGGACTAATGTATAGCATATCTATATTTTCATTATTTGACTATGTACATGGATCTTGAGTGGGGGGAAAAGGAGGGGGTAGGCAGTGTAGATTCACTACCCCAACACTTGAATCAATGACAAACTTATGATTTAAACACTGTGCATATTATTCCTCCACACAAAATTTTAGCATCACCCCAGCCACTCCACCCTGTAAACAAATTTTTACAACAGGGATACATTTATTTTGTTATGGACTCAGTAAACAATTTATCCACTGGAAGCAAAATTTAAGTTAATTTACAAAATAAATTCATCAAATTAACTCTCACCTGCGTGTATATAGAAATTATGCATACTACTGTATAGAAAACATGTACCGTAACTCAAATCACATCCAATGCTAAAATCCACATTAAACAGTTTTCACGCCTCATTATATTTCTAAAAGAGTTCCACATAATGCTCTAAAAGTTTTTCTGATTAAAACAGAAACTGGCAATTGATGTAATGCACTTTACAGATGCATGTGGTCATGACATTGTATGAACATTGACATCGTGCAGTTTTCTAAATTATCTCATAGTTACATAAATCAATGCAGAACAGCCGGAAGAGTTTAGACTTGTTATACGGAAATAACATACTTCTCTTACATGGTCTTAAATCTTTCTTTTTTCTTTCTTTCTGCTTAAGTTGAACTTTTGTTTTTCTAATAAGGTCATAATTATCAAAATTTTCTTGTGAAGCTGAGAAAAAAATTAAGTCTACTATACCTATTATTTAAATGTACAAAATTTCACCATCAAACAAACATTTTTCCTTTTTCTATGTTTATGTAATGTTTTCTTTTTTTTCATTAAAATTAGTGTTAAAAGCTATGATGTCGTTCAAAAATAGATCAAAATTTATATTATGCATTAACTTAAAAGCTATATATGCAATTACTTAAAAGCTTTGAATAAATAATGAAGTAGAAATATTGCACAGCACTACATGTACATATTTCATAAATTAGAAAGGCTTAATTGATAGAGTTGTTTTCTAATAAGACCTAAAAAAACACAGAGTTAAAAGTCAAATCAAAGATTTGCCGAGTAATGTTTTTAAAATATTTGTTAGTATAAATTAATAAAAAAAATACACTGAAACTTGACCGTAAAGAAGAAGAAAATAGCGTTAGAACAGGGATGAGGAAGAGCAGTATTTTTATATTGCAGGTATATAGGGATGGATAGGAACGGTTAGCAAACATCATCCAATCAGAGACCATTCCTAAAGGAACTAGAATAGAAGCGGATTCTATAAATCAGTCCATTTTTTGGAAAAACAGGTAATCTCAGGATGCGTAGAATGATACAAAGATGGTGAGTGCACCAGTGTCTATCGCTCTAGGAAGGTTAAATAGTTTATGTGATGAAAAAATTTTCTTTGTGATATTTTGGTGTCTGATGGTCACGGTTTATGTTTTACCATTTTGTTTACTTGCTCAAAATATTACATCATTAAATCTAAAACGTTGTACATGTATTTGGTATGTCATATGTTTTTAAATCTCATTTTCTGTGTTTTAGCAAAGTGACCTCCAGTTACTCCAGATATATGCCAAAATGACGCTAGAGACCATGTATCTTTCAAACATTTTTGGACATGGGGGGGTGGGGGGAGAAAACCGCTGGCCCCCACCCCCTCACCCAGTTGCTTGTGCCAGGGCCTGGAGGGTCCTGTCGTGGACCCTGCATTCATTCACAAACAGTAATTTTAAGTGAAGCTTCCCTTTCACCAATTAGAATATCTGAACAGCAATCAGAATTACACTCAAAATACCAATGGTTCCTGGACCGATTTCTGATGTTCTTATTTGTAATGTCATGATAACCTGTAATTTAAATTACCAATGTTAAAGTTTTTCAGAACAAAAAATTTGAAACTGAGCAAACTTCCTGTTTGCAAACAGCCAACTGTCAGAATATATTATTTGTTTCATCTGACATGACAGAAGGAATCAAAGGTTGTATTTCAAGAAATTTTTTAATGTTTCAATAGATTAGTATGTTCATGCTAGAATATTTCAATAGGATTGTATTTTAATATAGGGGTATACAGTGATTATATTACTTGGGAAATCTGTCAAATGTCATTTGGATAAAAAATCTTCAGCATGTTATATTTAAGGCAGGTGATCATGGGTTATTTTCCACATAATAGTGATTTTACACACATTTCTTATGGTATCACAATAACCTTAGGAAAGGATACCACAACTGAGGTTTTTTTCCAGTTTAGATTTTCAACGATGTAGATGACCCAAGACCCACAAAAACAGGGGGTCGAGAATAAACGAAAAAAAAAATCCTGTATACATGTATGCATCATGAAATCTGAAATTTAAGGACAGACAGATTTGGATTATGACTTTGGGTAGAACTGGGCCATATCTCTGGAGACAACATATATCGCAATATTTTCAAATTTATCTGAATTTATAAAAATTTCAATAATTTCAGTTTTTCACCTTTTAAGTAGTTATAAAACATGCATAAAAAGTTGGACAAACCCCTTGAGTATTCACTTGAATCTTCCAAAACATTAGTTATGATATTTGATTTAATCAAGATTACATGCATTTATATGAGGGGACATAAAAAGGAAAAAGAAACATGAAGTTTGTCTTTCAGTAAACATGTTTATAATAGCTACAGGTCAGATACATGTAGGTGGCTATTCATTTACCCTTGCGAAACTCTCATTATCTCATTCAAGCATATGCCATATTTTGTGAATTTGAATACATTTTAGGGTGGATGAAATAACCATAAAAATGTATAATCGAACTTTGTTTATGATCGTAATAACGGTAGCAATGACGATCGAGGCCAGTCTAAAATTGAAATTTTCAGTATATTCTCTTTTCATTATCTATTTTTTAACTATTATAGTAAGAACTGTCAGCATTTTATCTAATCTTACCTAATGCCCCATTAATTATTATTTTTATTTTGAATTACATCACACCTAAATATCTAGGGGTGGGAGTAGGGGGATGGCAATGAGGAAATAGATAAATTTGGTACAACATCCTCTCAACACATTTTGGGACTAACGTGGTAAATCTTGGTTTCATTTGAGAAATAACATGACAAGAAAACAGGTAGACATTTAAATGACAACAAAGTATGTAGGCTACAAACATAGAGAATAATACTAGCGTTGTTGGTAGATTAACTATGAAAGTCAACTAATGCAATCAAGGTAGTCTGTAATACTGACTTGATATTGTGAAGATGTGCCCAGGAAGACCAATAAAATATCAATGCTCCAAATTTCTCAATAAACAGCACATATGGACTTTCAGACATACATTTGTAAGACAGTGCTGCACCACTGAATGAGCGGAACCATCCTGGAAAATCTCGAAGAACTTTCCCAACCAAAACTGATACTGGAGACTTCCTATTTGAAGAGCCAGCACCAAGTTCATTGTGACTCCCATATATTTAAGTATATTGTATATATGAATAAATCACAATTTATAATATCATTATCTAGGTGTGGTCATGAGGACTGAATTTAATATTAATGGGCCCAGCGATAAACATTTCTATCACAATTAGAAGTAGAGACCATCCCATTAGTTGAATTTTCTGTTACAATCCACATAGGCCTATGTCACAACAACCATACATACATGCAGATAAATAAAAGAAATTCAACCTCTTTTTATTTTACAGATATTATATAAGAATAATATAGGATGGTTTCTCTGAAATTATTTTTATTATTATGTAATTTAAGCAAGTCTGGCACACACTACATGTGGTCACTTCTATTTCTGTTTATAAATATTAAAATATAATATATAACACATCATACATGCCTGTCACATAGTGCAAGAGCAATAACCAATTCAGTTGTTTTTTGTCCAAAATAAAAGACTAGAGCAGTTCACAGAATATTTATAGTAAGCACAATTAACATGAATTGTAGACCTGAATAAAAGTAATCTTAATTACTTGGTCAGTTAGTGCGTTGTATGTACCTCTGTTTTTGTTTAATTATTAATGAACTTTGATTAATATCAGTATCTAATTACAAATCTGTACAATTATTTGTCCTATTAGGATAACACAAGCTGTGTATGAATATCTGTCTGTCATAATAACCTGAACAATATGTACTCAATGACCTACCAAACCTTATCAAGAAAAAGAAACCTATAATAATCCCTTTTTGACTCTAATATTCCCTACTTATCAATAAAAGGACAATGTTAACAAGTTAAAAAATTGTACATTGTGTGATTGAAATGAGTAACAAATTCCAAATACATTTTTAACATACTCAACATACAAAAAATGTTATCTTTTAGTCTCAAAATGACCCTTAGAAAGTGATAAGGTGGCACATTACAAAATCTGACCTTCAGTAAAGGAGAGAAATTTGAAACCATGTGGACATAGTATTCAATGTGCACCCTGATACGATACATAAATGAGTTCTGAAAGGTATGATAATCCACAGGGAAGGGGGACAGGTCCCCATTCGAAAAACTTTAAGAGCCATGTTTTATCCACACATGTTAAAAATAAAAGTAACTAAACAAAAACAATTATATTTGCTAAAACAATTCTGTCAATTATATGTTTTTTGATGTGTGGAGTCCAAATCAATTTTGCTCTCATACAGAAAATGGGTGTTTTTCAATAGCCCCCCCCCCCCCCCCTGTCCAAATATACCATGATCCATACTTATTTAGTTACGTTTTTCTAAATCATTATTTGAAAAAGTTTTCAATTTAAACCTCACCCACTGAACCCTTTACTGAACACATAAAATGTGTTTATCTGCAGAAATGTAGGATGTGTACCCATTTCATTTCATGAAATGTGTTTATCAATATTTTAATAGCAATTTAATCATTGATTGGTTATTTTCATCAACACAACTGATTTAAAAACAACACACAATCTTTTATAAATGGTTCCACAGTTTGAACAGTTGTCTAAAATATCTTTAAGGAATTAAAACTGTCAAACTTTATGTACATATACATATGTTGATTATGCATCTCTATAGTCCATCCAATTAAAAAAAATGACATAAATATTGAAAGTAGATTTTTTTTAAAAACTAAAAGCATATAATCACAGTGAATAACTGATCGTAAAGGTATGTAAAAGAGTTCAAAACGCAATAACTAAGTTAATACCTTTTAAGAACTCTCACCCTACATTTGATAAAATAACTAAATATTAAGTAAATACTTGTACCTATAATATAAATAATCTTAGCTTTGAGTAAATAAAATATATGAATACAGGTCTAAAAGTTATTGTAACTCTTTTCTATTCTAGGAAGTATGTTTCCTATTTCTAGGTTAAGATGTTTTGTTTAGACAAAAGATTTATAAACATATATAGTCTTTATAAATAGAGAAAAGATAATTTTTTTGTTGTGTTAATAGAAAATAGAAGAAGTGTAACATTCTAGTGTCTCTAATTTCTGTACAGTGACATACTATTTACATCATTCTAAACATGTATGAGTATACTTTGGACTAGAAAGCAAGCAAGATATCACCACAGCCATTTTGAAATTGTGATGTCATATCATACGATCTTGTCCAAGGAACAAACATGCTAAGTTTCATGTCGATAGTACTTGAATTGACGGAGCCTTAGGCTTTTTTCAAAGAGTGTCACCCCCAAGAACAAGAACAGTGCCTGGAACCCATGCAGTTCCTGGTCCAAAATAAGAATCTTCTG